ATATATATATATGTATGTATAAGGTGAGGATCATACTCCAGATCATATGAAAATATTTCTGTGTGAATCTCCCTGAAAGAATGAGATTAGAAACACCAACAAACATCTCAGAGAACAGATTTTCCTCAGTAAAAGATACATTACAGCATTTAGGGCAATAGGATTAAAAAGTGGAGCAAACACTCTGCAAATAAACACATGAAAAAGGGTGAGAGGTTATTAGGTTCAGAGCCTACAATCACTGAGCTTTGCCTGTTGCCCCAGAAGTGACTGTGAGACAAAGTAACAGCAACAACATCAGTTTATGTGCAGGAGAAAGGATAAAGGCAATCTGCAGGAATTGAAGGCTCCACCAGAACCATCATTAGTCTGTGCCTTTTGGAGAAGGATGAATCAAAGAGGGAGCATAAATGCCTTTGATCACCTTCCATGGAGCTCAACCTACATGGAACTGAAAGGAAACTGAACTTCCAGAGCAAACCCAAAGTTTACCTGAAAAGTTATCCTGAATGATGTAAAAGGTGTTTCAACTCCAAGTGCTGATTACTAACTCCTCTGGGCTGAATTCTGGGAGCTCCAGGTATCTTTCCTACTCAGTGGGGAATGAGATCCTCAAGAGCCACAGAACCACGTGCCAGTTTGACTGGTTTTAGACCCCTGTGTTACCCAGACTGCCACGAGCCACACCAGGAACATTTAGCTCCAGACAAACCCAAGTCCAGGACATTCCTCCCAGCCAGCCCAGGCTGTGGCTTCCCATGGCCCAGCACGAAGCTGCCAGCAGCCTTCCCCTCCCATTTCTCCCGTGCCAGGGTGGGTGGTGGGCACAGGAGCAAGAGGGTTCACCCCATCACCTGCCTGGAAGAGGAGGTGAAGCTGAGGCTCACGGGACACGGGCAGTGGGCACAGGGAGGTGATGTGTCCCCCACCCCTTCTCTCACAGTGTCCCACCATCTGAAACAGCTTCTTCATTCTCACCCCATTTCCAGACACAGAAATGACTCTTTGGACTTAATCCTGCTGATCATGAGAATTCCTTCTCATTACTAATTTTCCTTAAATATAAAGGGTTCAAAGGAAGCCCAGCAGCAGTCTGGGCTCTTTTGTTGTTCCCTGCCCTGACTGTTAATAAAACCAGAGGATAATTGAAAACAGTAGCCATTAAGAAGACAAGGATATATGTATATATATATTTTTGAGACTACCTTCATGTTCTAATTGAAAACAAGAAAAATCTGCCAAAAATTACTCTCTGTAATTTGGGGGGAACCTGACACAGCAATGTCTGCTACCCCAAGAGCAGAAAGACCCAGGATGCCTTACAGTGAAACAGAAATAAATCCTTTACTAAATGAATTTATATTTTCACCAAGATTGGAAGATGACAGTAAATACCTTATTCCTGAAATTGCCCTATTTCTGAATAAAGATATATATAGCCTAAGAGATACAAAGATGAAGCACCTGAGAATGAAAGCAGGAACACAGCAATGTGTGTGCCAGGAAAAGTGTCTTGTTGGGTGGAAGAAAATATGAAAACTAATAATCTCTCCATAGGAGGCCAAATTATGACCATGTTTTCCAACAAATTTGGACGCCTGAGCCTCCCCCATCTCGTCTGCCTCCAACAGACAGAAGCAAAACAAAAAAGGCAGTGATACCCTGAAGGAAGACACAGAAAGAAAACAGGGAAATCTTACTTTGCAGTAGTTTCTTCATCGTATTTTGTTTTCAGATCAAATAGTTCTGTTCTGGTTTTTTCCAAGGCTAAAAGGCATAAACATGAAGCATTACAGTACTGAAACAGCAGTATTCAGCCATAAATAAAGCTGTACATCTCCTGATGAAAAATTCTTTGCTTTATCTTGCTACCTAGGCAAAACATTGTGACTTAGAAAAAACACAGGAGTTTGATTTTTTCACAATTTCTTAGGGTATTTCTGTTACATTGCAAAAATCCCCAGTTTCTGCTTAACAAAGCTAGGCATGATTAATTTCTTATTAAGCTGGCTATACTGCTTATGCATTTGAAACAGTAGCAGTAATTCAGGGAATAAAATTTATTGTGTCCTCATAGTAAACAAAGCCAAATGTCTCCAGACTTGGAATCTGCAAGTATGCAGAGATGAAAATTAATGGCAAGTCACAGCAACAGGCAAGACACACTGGTAGAAAGTGGGTTCACCCTGATCACTACACACAGAATCACAGAAATTTAGAGGCTGGAATGGAGCTTAGAGATCATCTAGTCCCAACCCTCAGGGCAGGGTCACCTCCCACCAGAGCAGGTTGCTCAAGGCTTCATCCAACCTGACTTTGAACACTGCCAGGGTTGGAGCAGCCACAGCCTCCCTGGGCAACCTGTGCCAGTGTCTCACCACCATCACAGGGAAAACCGTTTTCCTAATATTTAACCTAAATTTCCCCTCCTTCAGTTTGCACCCATTGCCCAATGGGTACATTTATCAGAGTTCAGAAATGTGTGAAGCCAGAGCAGAACACACAGGCATGGTAAGTTCCATGGCCTGCTGGAACTGCAGTGAAACTCTGATGCTGTGCTTCATGGCCTTGTCCCCTGCAGTTACCACCAGACTGGCTGCAACATGACTGTTTGCTGCAGGTGTGAGCCCAAAAGAAGCTCCAATACACAAAGTACATTCCAGCTCTGTTGGAGCTCCCTGCAGTACCAGGAGATGGTTCACACACAGTCCTGATACACTCCATGATCCCTCTCCTCTCACCTCCCACCTGATCATTAGAACAGGCCAGAAAAGTGATGCCAAACCTGTTTGCAAAGCTTGAACTTTGTGTTCGGCTTCTTCCAGCTTTGAGGCTGTTGACATCTGTGTCTCCTGCAATTTCCTGTAACAGGGAGAGGAGAGGTGAGAACAGAGCTTGTAATCACGTTAAACAACTTACTTGTGTTCTGCAAATTTGGAAGATAGAGCGATTAAACGTCTCAACTGTAATCAGACAACTGCCAACACCACACAGGCTACAAGGTGCTTCGATGGGACCCATAAATCATCTCACTGTTCATACTTTGTGGTCCCACTTATTAAAATTTTAACAGCGTAGCCACCTCATAACATAAGCTGTGAACATTATACAAGAGTTGACTGCTATATAAATGACAACTTTAGTGGAAGGTTTTCTTGAGCATAATTTGTTTTGGAAATGTCACACACATTGAGAAAATTGTCACCAAGCACCCTCTGTTGTACAAAGTTAGTACAAGAAGAATGATATATTTCCATTTTAGTGTCATCTTGAAGGGATTTGTTGCCATAACTGATTGAGTGAATAGATGCAGCAGCTGTTTCATCAGAGCTGTAATGGGTGCCAAATGCAACAATATTATTAGCTGCTCTTTAAGAAAACACACATATTTCCAAACAAATCTCACACTGATCTTTTCTCTAGAACATGAGCAAACCACTAATAGGTTCACATTTCCTCTGTCCACAGGCAGTATTTCCCTGTTTGTGCCCATTATAGCCACTTCACCATCACCTGGCCATGCAGACACTGCACTCCTTGCTAAGGGTCAGGCTAGAGGAGTTAGAAAACTCATCTTGGAAAGGAGCTGCTCCAACATCTCCCAGGAGCTGTGCTTTTACAACGTTGCTTTTAGGATATTCTGCAGATTTCAGAATTGTGAAATGGCTTATGAAACTAGCAGCATCCTGCTTGCACTCCATAGGGTGCAGAAATTTATTCTCCAACACTGCTGACCAGGTTAATAACTATTTATAGCGAGAATCATGCGTCAGTTCCCTTCATGCTGAACTATATACTTTGAGAGCTCAAAACCCTCTCTTATACTCACTTTTATTTGCATTTCATGACCTGTCATTTTATTTTAAAGTATATCTAAATTGCACTTGTTAAAGCCACTGCTTACAAGCTACTTATCAAAAAGAAACCACAGCTATTGATGAATTAAAAACAACTTTGTATTCACTGGTAGGTTCCTCCCACTCAGACCTGAATTTAAACAACCAACTCTCCAGCTAAAAAGCACATATAAACTGAAGGTTTTCCACGCTATGTTGAACATATTATAGCTTCAGTGTTATTGCTCCACGGGAGAAATAAATTCTCAAGGTAGGGAATGCAGCCTGGAAGAACTCCCTCTTCAGCCTCTTGGTCTGACTTTTCTGCCCACTAACCTAAAGATTCAAACACTATCTGGTCATTTGCAAGAGATTAGAAATGCATCCAAAATGCTTATAAAAAATCAGTAATATATCATTAAAACCCTCCTTAATTTTGACATGTAGGAACATGCAAAACCTTTCCAGGATAATTCAGGCACACATCCCCTTTCACAGACATTACCATGGGAGCAGGGGGTGATGCATCTTTCACCCAGGCTGTGGGTACAGTGCTCCATCTCAACCAGCTCAGGGTGGTTCAGCCTGTGCCCCAGCTCTGACACCCAGAGCAGCACAGCAGACTGAATTACACTGCCTGCTAATGGAGACAGATTAGTGTCACTGAGGACAATACAGCCAGTGAGGAATAAAAGCAGGTTTGCACCTTCTCAACATGACACCCCCACACTGCACCATGGCACAGAAACAATCTGTCCTTGTTTCTCTTCCACACTCTCACGATTGTTTTTCTGTGCAAAGTTGAGTATCAAATGATTCCATGTCAAACACATAAATCGCCAGAATCACTCAATATATGAGCTGTCTCCGTGCACCGGAGAGTCAGTCCTGGCTGGGGAGATTAAACAGAGAAATACATCTCTCCTCCTCCACAACACCCACAGCCACACACACACACACTCACCTCTCCTTCTCTGCAAAATCATTTTGTAACTTTTGTTCCTTTTCAAGGGCTATGTTCTCCGCTTGGTTCTTCAGGGTCTGTTCATACTCTCGGATTTTCTCTTTAAGTGCTTTTATTGTAACCTCTACAGAAAAACAATAGGGGAAGAATGAGTTTACACAGCTCCACGTGGTTCCACAACACAAGGCTTGCTTTACCCTGTAGGCTCAGTGTGTTTTAAACTTTAGCTCTTCAACTCTGACACAAAATCAATGGATATGAGTCCCTTTGGAGACCTTTTACTCCCTAAATGTTAAATTGAACTTTAAGTGTTTAGGTTGAGAAGGATCAATGGAGTTTGCTGGAAAGCAGAGTGAAGAAGGTTCCTCTAACATGACTTTTTTTTTTAAAAAAAAAGAAGGAAAAAAATCAATTGCAAAATATAATATCACTTTATTGACTAGTCTAAAATTAGCTCAGTGCTGAATGAAGATTAATAAAGTCCCAGTGTAAGTTTAAGTATGCATTTACACACAGGACACTTAATACACCCAACTGTGCTCATGCTCAAAGAGACAGTTTCACTCTGCCTCATGCACAGAGACAATCTCACACTAATTGAACAAATATCTGGGATGCAGCTACATTCTGCTCCACAAGTGATGAGAAATAAGGCAGTTGGGATCTAACTGGCATTACCAGCAGGTCAGACCCACCAGACACACTGGAGCCCTGGACAGCCAAAGGTGCTCTCACTGCCTCATCATCCACACTGGGGTTTACACCCAGGCATTAATTATTTTAACTTTCTGAGTGCACTTGTAGCCTTCCAAGGACTTTGCAGAAAGCTTCACCTCAGATAAAGAGCTATCTTGCATCTCCCATGCCCAGGAATGGAGAGAAGATGCACAGACCTGCAGAGTTATGGCACAGCATCTCGTTACTCACCCTGATCCATCCCTACGTGAAAGCCCTTTGATCCCACCCACAGGAAAGGACTGAATCCTTATAGGGCTCAGAAGAGGAAAAGCAGGACATTCACCAGAGTATGCTTTGTAACAATAATGGAATTTGGAAAAAGCCTTAGACTGCCAGAAGACTTGCAGCTAGCAACGCATTTCAGTGTACTCACACAGGGATGCAGGGGGGGTTAAAGACATCAGCTTATTAACAGATGCCATTCACATTGCCTTAGGAGAAAGAAAAACTATTGGACATAAAGAGCTTTATATTCTCCATAAACATCACAAGAAGACAAATTCTAATATGAAAAGTAAAGCCTATGGGCTTGGGAGAAAAACCTTGATAATATCACGCAAACCCTTTCAAAGTCCAGACAGTTAGACTTGAGTGGAGAACTGCAGACAGTGGGGAGCAAGTGACAGGATCTACTGTCTGGGCATTACCAAGGGCAGCTTGGGCCACTGTGACCACAAAAAAAGGGGGGGCAGAGTGGTAAAAATGCTTGCCAGCAAAGCAGCTGCCTCTGAGTGAAGGAACAGGATTTTGCTAGCTGTGCAAAAATCAGCTGAGGCTCATTACTGAGTAACAGGCCATGAAAAGGACACGTCACTGCTTCTGGGTTGTTTTTTTTTTAAAGCAAAGGGAAATTCTTCCCTGAGATCTGGGAAGTCATACAAATTCTGATCTTTTCCTGAATCAGCAAAGGATGCTCCTTCACACAGACAACAGGGATGCTCATCTGGATAGACCAAGGATGCACTCTGTACTGGAGACACCTCTGCTCCAGGTATTTTCAGACATAAATCTGCAAAAATAGTCAGGAGTGTGGAGAAGCAGAGAGCAAAATGATCTCATGGAAACACATATAATTGCACCCTGACCAAGTGTGAATGTCTAATCTTAAAAGGAAACAAAGCTACAAAAATGAACATAAGAAGTACACAAATATGTGGAAAAATATAACTTTTGTAATAAAATCTGGCAAAGCTACAAAAATGAACATAAGAAGTGCACAAATATGTGGAAAAATATGACTTTTGTAATAAAATCTGTTTTTATATTTAAGCACCTAACAACAGATGTATTGGACAAGTACAGTTTAATTCTCTACGCTGCTTGAAGCACTAAGTGCCTTCTTCAATGCTCAGGTCAGCTAAAGTGTGTCAGCCACTGCCATTTCTACCAGTTTTGGAAGAAGTTCTTACAGACACTGTATAGCTTACACACAGCCCTCCAAACAAAGAGATTAACTGATCAAAGCACCCTTAGCTAACAACAGCCTTTTCCCTGGATAGCTTATTAATCCCTGTTTGAAACAGAGAGTAAAACTCTCGCACTGGAGTGAAAAAACAACGCAAAAGCTACAGTGGGAAAAGGGAAAGGAAGTGAGAGCACACCAGGGAAAATTAAAAATGCCAGTTTATGAGTGGTTGCAGCAAAAAACTGGAAGTCAAGAGCTTTTCCACTTTCTGGGATGAGCCTCTATGTCATGGCTGGATGTGCAGCCTCAGGAAAACTCTGCACAGTGAATGGCAATTATTGTACCTTTCCAGCAAAAACCACTGTTGGGCTTAGAGCATTAGAGCTCCCACAGGACATCCCTTCCAGTCCAGCCCCAGTCTGGCATACTGGTCCCTGCCCTCTCCACAGCTCACACCCTCTATGCTAAAACAAAATGTATTTCAAAATATGGAACTGCGTATCTGTTCCTGCAGCTGAAAGTGAGATGTAACACAACCAACTTAGCTGTCAATGCACCTTTCAAATGTTACTTGGGTGCAACATAATATAAAAATTGGGTTTACCTTATGGAATTGGGTTCCATAACATAAAAAATAAAATGAAATCTCCATTTTCCCAAATGCCAAGACAATTTACCTTTCCACCATCCAGAACTGGGCATTAAACACAGACATGTACAATCCCATGGATAGGCAAGTAGGTGTACACAACTGAGCAAATTTTGTTTCCTGGTGCAGGAAACTTCATTCTGAATCACAAGAAAACTTGAACAGTTTTAAAGCCAACAGGCTTTAAATCTCACTGAGAATTCTGTGATTTTCATGTATTCTGGTCTCATTAAAACTTAAATAATTAAACAGTATTAGCTTGTATTTACATTGCTCTGAGGATAGTCTCTAGAGTCAATATAAAGTACATATGCAGAATGTGCTCCTGTAATACATTTAGATAAGGGAAAAGAGTAGAGAAAAAGTTCCATTTTGTACAGATTTGTATGTGTGTAGAAAATACAGATTTTTGTATATGCCAGTGCAAGATGTATGTCCCACAAGCATCCACACCCACATTCAGCCTGATGTCAGCACCAGCACTGCCTCTCATAAATGTCACATATAATGTCAGTCAGGTGTGAGTTTCAGTGTTGAAGGCTACAATCAAATATGCAAAACAACAACTCCATCCTGACTTGGTGCTGCAGCAGATCAAACTTTCAAAGAAATGCAAAGAGCCTACCCAAAGTTGTATCTACACATAAATACAGAAGTGGCTGTACTAGACTACTGTACTTTCTATACTGAATTTCAATGCTACTGTCAGTTCTAGCTGTAAGAAATAAAACTGACTTTAATCCCTATCTTCAAATTTCAGTGTGCATTAAAAGCTGATTAAAAGAATGTTTGCAACCTACCCTGATTTTTCACCTCGGCGAATTCCTTATTGTATTCCTCTAGAGTTTCCCTAAGTTTCTGGTTTTCTGTTTCAATATCGTGCATACGTTGAACCTTCAGCTGAAGCTGTTGCCCTAAATCCAAGGCTGGAACTGGATCTGTAAGAGAAACAGTAAAATAAAAGGTAAGGTAACAGGAACACTGATGTGACTCAAGCAGTTTGGAGAACAAGTGTCCTTTTTTCTCTATTAATATCCATTTTAGGGCCAGTAAAGCTCTACTATGAGTTATCAGCTTTGTATGTTCCTCACCTCATATCCTGCAAACTTAAAAAATCAGGAATATTTCAGTGTACCTATGTTACCCTTTAAATGTAGAAATAGGCTGAGGGAGTTGGGATTGTTCAGCCTGGAGAAGAGAAGGCTCTGGGAGGCCTTAAAGCCCCTCCAAGGGGCTCCAAGATAGCTGGAGAGGGACTTTGGACAAGAGCTTGGAGTGACAGGACAAGGGGGAATGGCTTCCCACTGACAGAGTCCAGGGTTAGATGGAATATTGGCAGGAAATTCTTCCCTGTGAGGCTGCTGAGGCACAGGCTCAGGTTGCCAAGAGAGGCTGTGGCTTTCCCATCCTTGGGAGTGTTCCAGGCCAGGCTGGATGGGGCTTGGAACAACCTGAGCTAGTGGAAGGTGTCCCTGCCCATGGCAGGGAGATGGAACAAGTTGGTCTTTAAGGTCCCTTCCAACCATTCATGAAATTAGGACATGCCTCCTTCACCCTGGCATTAATCCACAGGGATCCTGTTCCTGGGCACAGACAGTCATGATACAAAGGCACTTGAGCTGGTCAGTTTTGCATTTCTGTTTGCAAAATGAGAATCAGAAATATTGTGTGGATGCAAATAATTCCCTGAACCTCGAGTTTGGGGACTCTTGTTCCCTCTTCTTAGACTCTTAATCAACTAAAAATCAGAAATCATTTTGAGTGTCCTCTCAGTATTAATTCTCTGATATTCATCCTCTTCTGATAAAGAGGGTCCTCAGCACACCTGACATGCACATGTGTGATTTATTCTGGGACTTCTTCCCAGTCAGAGTAGGAAAACGCTGGAGTGTGATGGACTTATAAAAGATTATTGACTATATTTCTGCTGTGGGCGCCAGCATCTCTTGTGAAATGGCTGCAAAGATTTAGTCTCCTGTTGAGGAATGCTAAACACCAAACTCAGTGGATCAACAACAGTATATATTAGGGAGTTCACTTAATTTTCAACCACCACAGTCATTAATTTTTCAGACCACCCTCAGTCTCTGGAAACACATAATAAGTCTATTGTACCTCTGTTAACACATTAAGCATGAGCCTGTGTGTTTTTTCAATATGCCAACGTTGCTTCATAGTTTATAAAAGAATAGCACTGGGTTATGTTGAGCTCAGAGACATTCTAAGTAGCAGCCTGCTGCATTTTGTTACTCTGGTTCTTCAACAGCTTATGGCATTACCCTGTTCATAATACAAAATCTAGGTTGCTTGTCATCTGTTCTCTGTACATACATAGTTTATGACTACATAGCTTTTTCATTTATGCTTTTTAGGCCAAATACTTTTGGTTATTATTATCTGTATTAAAATATTTATAATAAATCAAACTTAAAATGTTATTGTGGCAGAGACAGGGGGGTACAGGTAAGGAATTAAATATAAAGCTGAAGTCAGAGCAGTAGCACGAGTTAAAGGCTCTGCAGTATTTATGGCTGGTCCAATTACGGTGTGGGCTGTCACAACATCACACTGCTCCCATGGAGGTCTCCGACCTTCATGTGCAAGGACCGTTTTGTCACACTCCTGCAGCTCAGCACTGCTCCCAGCACAGAGCCAGCCCAGGACATTCATCTGCTCAACATAAAGAAAGGCTGGATTGTCTCCATCCATCCCCATCTGAAACACTTACAGGAACTGGAATCGTATCAGCTCAGGGATCTTAAGCTTCAGCTATGGCATTTCTATCCAACAGTGCTAAAGTGCCACACTGAAAGAAACTGAACTTTACAAAATTGTGGGTGCACTTTGCCCCCTCTTGTTTTCCCGTGCCCATTGTGAAAAGCTAGGACACCCACAAGAGGTATTTTCCTCCAAATACACAAGGCTTTTTATATTGAAATCAGCAAAGAATTAAGAGACAAAAATAACATAGGCATTACAAAGTGAATAATGACTAAACCTTTAGTCAAATTTGCAATCCCTGAGAAGCTTTATGTACAAAATGAAAATGCTTCAATCTCATAATTATTCATCAGGACATGTATATTTAATTTAGCTCTATTAAAGGTTAATGTTCAAGTAGCAAAACAGTGGCAGAACAAACAAAATGTAAAAAAAGTCTCTGTGCATTAAACTTCAAACTTCGCTAAAGCCTATTTGAAGGACTAATGGCCTAGAGCCACTAAAAACTGCTGGAGGACATGTGAAAAAACCACAGCTGAAGCACCTCATAGACTTATTCCTTATAAACTGCATTAAAGAAAACCAATCATTAGATGACAATAAAATGACCAAGACATTTCGGGCAGAGAGACAAATCATTTCTCATGGCAAGCTCCAACGTGCCCTTTTAGCTCCAAAAAACTAAACCCCTGTTATTTCTGGAGTATTTATAAACACTAATTAACCTGAAACCAGTATAAATCTTACAGTCACAGCAACTTCTTTTTCACCTGAGTGGAGTGGATTTAAAAATAAAGCAAAATACTCTCCTTTTCCTAACACATGCATGCATGGAAAAGCATACCTTTTTATATTAACCAGGCTGACAAAGTATGTTTCATGTCATTTAACAGGAGGTCACTGAATTTTTAAACAAGCAATGGAGCAAAACTTTCGATTCATTACACAAACAACAGGCATACAGGGCTCAAAAAAAAATAAAATCTAGTGGCCCTGGCTTATGGAGAGAGGTGGAGAAGGAAATGCCCTTTCTACGGTCTGTAAAAGAGAAAAATCACCTCACTGAACACTGACATGTGGAAAACTCTTCATGCATTACTCTCTTGCTTTGAATCTTCTCCTGCAAAAGTTCAGAATCTCTGCTAGGCACAAGATAAGTAAGACTGAGAAAACTGGTAAAAAGAATCTGATCATTCAGAACTCAAAGAAGCATTTTGCAAGATCATTACTGCCCAAGAGTAAATTGAGATGTCTATTTTGATACTAAATTTAGTGTATTTTTTTCTACTGCTTCCTATTCTGTCCCTGTTTTCCTAATCCACTTGTTGCATCCCATACCCACAGAGAAACCTCTGCATCCTGTGTCTGTAGGCAGCACAGCACATCTGGATCCCATCCCTGACAAGGCTCCCTTCCCACTACCACAGGAGAAACAGCAAGTGCTGTATTTTAAACCCAGGATCTGCAAAGCCCATTCCTGCCCTTCCTTCCCAGTGGATTGTCCTTCAGAGCACTTCTCCAGCAGCTCTGAGCACATCCCCACGCTCACTGCTGCGACACACCACACCATCCCCTCGCAGAGGAGCTCCTGTCCCCACAGAGGAGGTGGATGGACACGTCTCAATGAACACACGTGACAAAATGAACGTTACAAATGCAAGGTAAATTAATACTTCACGTCAAGTGAGCTGCTGCAATGCAGCTGCAGCAACACCTCTCAGGCTGTTCTCACACCACACATATGCCCTGATGATGAATCTTTTCTGAAGAGCAGAGTAGGGCAAGAAAACCTTTCTTTTTTTTTTTGTGGGTTTTTTTTTTTTTCTGCTGCTGCATGCAAACTACTGACTTTACAAACAGTTTTAGATGGAAGTCACAGATGGATCTCACCCAAACTGTGCATTACATGAGCAGGGAGAGGCAGCCCCTCACTACTCTGGTTTTGGGTGTCACAAAACAGGAAAGATATAAAGCTACTTGTGTCCAAATGAGGATGATGAAGGGTCTAGAGAGGAAGTCATACAAGAAGTGGCTGAAGGCACTTGGCTTGTTCAGCCTGGAAAAGAGGAGACTGAGGGGAGACCTCATAGCAGCCTTCAACTTTCTCACAAGGGGCAGTGGAGGGACAGCACAGATCTCTGCTCTCTGTTCCCACTGACAGGACCCAAGGAGAAAGCATGAAGCTGTGTCAGGGGAGGTTTAGGCTGGATATTAGGAAAAGGGTTTACTCAGAGGGTGCTTGGGCACTGGAACAGCTCCCCAGGGTAGTGCTCACAGCCTGACAGAGCTCAAGGAGAGTTTGGACAATGCTCTCAGGCACAGGGTGAGATTGTTGGGGATGTCCTGTGCAGGGTTGGACTGGCTGATCCTTGGGGTTTCCCTTCCAATTCAGCACATTCTCTGGTTCCATAATTCACCCACCACCCCACATCACTCAGCCCAAACCCAACCTCAACCCCAGAGACACAATAAGAGCCACCAATGAGTAGCTGAACTTCCAAAGTGAATTTTCTTCGGGAAACCCCCATTTCTCCCTCATTCTGTGAGCTGGAAGAAGACACAGCTCATAAAGTCAAGAACCCAAGCCTGGTGTTTGCTCCAGGAGTAGAGTCTCGGGGTGCCCTCTCCGGTCACTCGTGGCCGGGGCTGCCCCCGCGCGCCCCTCGCCCGGTGACATCCCACTCCCTCCTGCCTTCCTTTTCGCCAGGGCACTCTGGGCTAATGTAATCATACGATTACATAATTAACCCAGCTGTCTCATTAAGAAAATCAACTGGAATTCAGGGCATAATTAGTCATACAGCAATTAGCATGCTGATGAGCAACTGATGAAAAGCTGTCTCGATATAGAGTATGCTGGGACCACCCTCGTTATTTAAGGCGAGGGGGGAAAAGCCCACCTTAGCTCATGGAAAAGGAGCTCCTGTGGGACAGGAGAGGAGTAAAAGTTCACATTTAACCCTTTGACCACGCTGTGAGCAGGGAAAGGTCGCTCAGCCGCTCTCTCCGGCACGGAGGGGGCGACGGAGGGATGGGCTGCGGGAGGATTTGCCAAATGAAGTGGAAAAAGTGTGTCATTGTTTAAATGTACATTCACAGCGTGTTGGGCAGAGTTATCCCCTCTCCCCACACACAGATCCATCTCTCCACCCGTGTGTATCTGTCTCCAAGGTGGGAGCTGTAAAGCCTGGCCGGGATCGTGCCGACGGATCGGGCG